TTGAACGGGATTTAAGGGACATAGATGGCGCAACTCATTTTATACAATACAAATTTGTGCAATTTCACCGTATATACAAGCAAAAATGATAGGAAATGTAGTAAACTTAGTTAACAATACCCTTATGTCCATCTACTGGAGTGGCAGTTGCGCCATCTACCTTCTCATTGTAAAGTAGGGCGATTTTTTCTTCAATTGGCGGAACCCGTTTTATGTTCCAGCTAAAATAACGCCGTTTTCTTTCTCAGCGCGCGGTGCCATCTTATGGGTATTTTGGTTTTTGAGTTGAGCCATCTACTTTTAGGTTAGTGTATCTTCAATAACTCAACTTATAAATTGCATAACTTCATCTTATCTTGCAGGCACCACCTTGTACTCACACACACAACTTGTCCACATACAACTATTTCCCCCCACAACTTGCTCACACACAACTTGCTCACACACAACTTGTCAACACACAACTCGTCCACACACAACTTACGCACACACAACTTGTCACCACACAACTTGTCCACACACAACTTGTCACCACATAACTTACTCACACACAACTTGTCCACACACAACTTGTCACCATACAACTTACTCACACACAACTTACTCACACACAACTTGTCCACACACAACTCGTCCACACACAACTTACTCACACACAACTTGTCACCACACAACTTGTCCACACACACAACTTGTCACCACATAACTTACTCACACACAACTTGTCCACACACAACTTGTCACCGTCACAACTCACTCACACACACAATTTACTCACACACAACTTGTCCACACACAACTTGTCACCACACAACTTGCTCACACACACACAACTTGTCCACAATCAACTTGTCAACACACAACTTGCTCGCACACAACTTACTCACACACACCTTGTCCACACACAACTTCTCCACACACAACTTGTCACCACACAACTTGCTCACACACACAACTTGTCCACACACAACTTGTCACCACACAACTTGCTCACACACACACAACTTACTCACACACACCTTGTCCACACACAACTTCTCCACACACAACTTGTCACCTCACAACTTGCTCACACACAACTTCTCCACACACAACTTGTCACCACACAACTTGCTCACACACACACAACTTGTCCACACACACGCACACACATTGCGTGGCAGGCGTGGCACTTGGCAACATCGACCTTCACTTTGCGTGGCAGGCGTGGCACTTGGCGACATCGATCGTCACTTGGCGTGGCAGCGTGGCCGGCGTGGCACTTGGTGACATCGACTGTCACTTTGCCTGGAAGGCGTGGCACTTATTGCACTGGACTGGCTCCGGTGGCGTGCTTGGCACCGGTTGGCGCCGTGGTCGCCGCGGCTGTTTGCGTGGCAGGCGTGGCAGTTGGCGACCTCGACCTTCACTTTGCGTGGCAAGTGTGGCACTTGGTGACATCGACCGTCACTTTGCGTGGCAGGTGTGGCACTTATGGACTGGCTCCGGTGGCGCGCTTGGGACCCGTTTGGCGCCATGGTCGCCGCGGCTGTTTGCGTGGCAGGCGTGGGACTTGGCGACATGGACCATCGACCTTCACTTTGCGTGGCAGGTGTGGCACTTGGTGACATCGACCGTCACTTTGCGTAATTGAGTCAGGAGACCGTGTCGTCATGAGGTACAGTACGTCGTCCAAACCCAAGTCCAACGACCTTTCTCCTTGTAACTGTAGTCGCCAGGGCCTCCTGCAGACCACTCATGCCACCCATCCCAAAGGGCGTTCTTGCTCGGGATGTAGTGGTCGTCATCCTCTTCGTCGTCCTCCTCGTCCTCCCAGCCTGACTGGCCGGCCTTGCTGGTTGTACCAGATTGGTCGTTTCTTGACACCGCGAGGATTGACCCACTGGCAAAAATTTTCCAAATTGCCGAAAAATTGTTGAAAAATTACAAGCGCAATCAATTTAAAAGCCCAGGCTCTCAGTGCTTGAAGTAGCACTGGCCACGGCCGGCGTATGCCTGCCGGCCGCAGACTTTACAGATGCGCAAATCGATGGAATTGTCCGTCACTGTCTCCGGGGTCCTTCTCGACGTCCTGCTGGCAACGGCGGCGTTTCCAAATCCACCACTGGCACAGGCGGAGTCTCAGCCGTATCCGTGTGGGAAGGAGCAGCAGCAGGTTCAGCGGCTTCTGAGTGGCGGGTTTCAAGCACGGAGGCCCCCTCACGTCTCCACGGTGCCGCCGGGAAACCACCTGACGGGGCTGAACCAGGAGGGGCGGATGGCGCCCCTCCTTCAGATTCCGGCGGTCCACGCTCAGCTGAGCCTGGGGCCGCCACTGCCATGACGAGCGCCAGCGCCGCGACCAGGATCATGGCCAAGCGCATGGTTGGCTGGGTGTGAAGCTGCTATGGGAAGTGACATGATTCATTGAACAGCTGGCTGCAGACAGGACGACCGCACCTCTTTCACCAAGTTAGGCGAGGCCCGCCTCCTTCATTATGCAAGGACACGTGTGCCTCCTTAATTTAGGGAGACACAAGCCTCCTGTCTTAACTTAGGAGACAGGACCTCCTTCGTCGAGACGCGTGACAGATTCAATCTTTTAAATTTAAATGCAGACCAGCACAGGCGCCTTCTGAGCCATCGTCGGTTATTTAAGCGACGGGCGCCTCCTGCTCCATGGAGACAACATTCAAGGCGCCTCCTTCGCCACCGGTATTTAGGAGACGGACGCCTCATCCACCACTCTAGGAGACAACAGTCAAGGTGCCTCCTTTTAAATTAAAAATACTCCTTAGGCTAAGGAGGCAGACACCTCCTTCGCCGCCGCTAGGAGACGGGCGCCTCCTTTAGGAGACAACATTCAAAGTGCCTCCTTCTGACAATTCTTAGGGCTAAGCAAACATACCTCCTTCGCCGCCGGTAGGAGACGAGGCGCCTCCTTCACCACTAGGAGACAACATTCAAGGTGCCTCCTTCTGATAGACATAATTAAATGCCCAGTCTAGTCTGGGACGCCCTGTCATTTTGCAGGCATCAGTCAAACACAGCTACTTCTAGTTCAATGGTCAAAGGGCAACAGGGGCAACAAACAAGCATCAGCAAGCTTATGGCGCTGGACTGTCTCCGGTGCCGCGCTTGGGACCCGTTTGGCACCGTGGTCGCCGCGGCTGTTTGCGTGGCAGGCGTGGCAGTTGGCGACCTCGACCTTCACTTTGCGTGGCAGGTGTGGCACTTGGTGACATCGACCGTCACTTTGCGTGGCAGGTGTGGCACTTATGGCACTGGACTGGCTCCGGTGCCGCGCTTGGGACCCGTTTGGCACCGTGGTCGCCGCGGCTGTTTGCGTGGCAGGCGTGGCAGTTGGCGACCTCGACCTTCACTTTGCGTGGCAGGTGTGGCACTTGGTGACATCGACCGTCATTTTGCGTGGCAGGCGTGGCACTTGTGGCACTGGACTGGCTCCGGTGGTGCGCTTGGTACATACACACATACATACATACATACATCCATACATCCATCCATGCATGCATGCATGCATGCATACATACATACATACATACATACATGCCATCTTTTTACACACCATCTTTCTTTGTCACACACCATCTTTCACATACGACTTTGTACTGTACCACACAGCTGTTTTTAATTTTCGATCCTTCACCACCTCCTTCGTCTTTCCTTCCTTCCCCATCCCGCTACAACATTTGTTGCCCATTATTGGAAGAAGTTGACATATGGGGTTATCTGGTCCGATTTTTTCCAACACGCTCTTGATTTTTCTCTTTTAGGGACGTCGAGATTCGGGTCACTCTTCATACTGCGCTCTTAAAATTTATCTTTCTCTCGGAACTACCAAAAACGCTTTTGATGCCACACTCTTAGCTCGCCCCTGGAACTTCCAACACGCTCTTGATTCGATTCTGCGCTCTGAACTTTCTCTTGGGCTTTCCAACATGCTTTTGATGGTAGGCTCTCAACTTGCTCTTGGGATTTCGAGAGCACTCCTTGCGCTAGGCTCTTAACTTTCCCTTTGAACTTCCAACACGCTCGTGAGACTACCCTCTTAACTTTTTCTTGGAGCTTCCAAAACACTCTCGCTGCTAAGCTCTTAACTTGCGCTTGGGATTTTAAAGAGCTATCTCGCAACATTTGATTGAAACATCTGGCAACTCTCTTCATACGACCCTCTTAACTGCAACACGCTCTTGATGCTACGATTACGATTTTAACTCCAGCACGCTGTGTGCTACACTCTCAACTTTCCCTGGGAGCATTCCACCGCGCTCTGGATTGCGGCGAAGATGCTCATGGTCCTATACATTCTTGACTTTCCGTTCAGCAGGCCAGCGGATCAGCCAGCGGACCCGCGGACCAGCACATCAGCGGACCAGCGGATCAGCGCATCAGCGGACCAGCGGATCAGCGGATCAGCGAATCAGCGATCAGCAGACCAGCGGATCAGCGGACCAGCGGACCAGCGGATCAGCGGATCAGCGGATCAGACAGCCCCACGATCATAAGCCAGAAACGGGGATGGGAGGAGAAGCATGGGTGCATGTGTCATAATATGGTACTAGTCTCATGGCTGCAGGCAAGCAATTTCATGATTGTGTGATGGCCACTCCTGACTCGATGAAGAAAATGAAAAAATATATTTCAATAATTTGTTCTGTCTGCTACGTTAGACAGTTTCTGATATGTCTTGGTCCTGTAGATATTGACACTACAGTCTTGATCAAGAGGACAGCATACTTTAAAGCTAAACTAGCTATTCTGTGTATAGCTGTTCTTTTTTTGTAGCCTCTTGATGGATCTTCAAGGTACGTAAAAATGTACTGATCCCACTCGTCCTAGATGTCGTAAATAGACCTATTGATGATCTACTGTAGTCGTAGTGCTTAAGATTTTTGCATACTTCTACTGTAATCAACCTTAATCATCCTTAATCAATGTTCAAATATGTTTAAATCATTTCGTTCTCCTTGCATCGAAGAGATCGGCCTCACAGCGTGTGAGGCAATCCGTCGCAAGGGCATCCAGGCGCTTCGGCAATGCGTTGATGCCGAGGAGCTCCTGAGCTTCCCACGGCGCCCCAATGGCGGGGAGCCTCGGTGCCGGTGCCACAGGGCGCCAGGAAGACCATCCGAAGACCCTGGGAAGACAAAAGATCCAAAATCTGTTTTGTAAGTGAAAATAAGTGACGTGCTTTTTCTTAGTTCAGAGTCTGTGCCGGGAGGTTATGGAGCTTGGGTATGCTTGAGTGATGCAATCAAGTTGTGCTTTGCCAAGTTGGTCAATGTGAGTATTTTCTATCCAATCTATCCACATCATTTCACACCTGTCTGGGCCATTTTGAGCCAAACTCTATACTCTATCCCATGCATGCTTTGCAACCTGCAGTCCAACACCAGAGCTGCAGTTCGAAGGAATTGCTTTGATGCTGAAGCAGAGCCTTTTTGAGAGGCTTCTCTCTGGAAAGCTGCTGGGACTTACGGTGCAGAGAGCTGCCATTAAAGCGCTTAGTCAGATATTCTGATTCTCAATAGCAAGGCTAATTAGGTCTGTTTGACGGCATAGGCAAACACATTGGCATAGAGGATACGCAATGCCACAACACACAAATGAAATCAAATGAAATCGAATGAATACATCATGATACAATGTGACATACGTCAAAACAATCTCAGCTACGCTATGTAATGTCACTGGGTGAATCTTGCTTTGAGCTACCGGCGCTGTTAACGGACCCGCAGTTTTGCTGCTTTTTTGCTGCCGCATTGCCCATCAGTTTGAAGTTGCCCACGTCAGTTAGAAGTTGTGCACGAAGGATAGTCTGATTTTCTTGTGGAACTGGGTGGGGTGGGGGGTGGGGGGGTAAGGTGAAGAGGGGCAATAGCGTCCTGATAGGATCAGCTAGAGCGTCTTCCCAGGCTGCCACACTAGTTTTCCTCTGTCGGCCAATAGCCAGTCAGTGCAGTGCCTAGACTACAAGCTGTACCTCTATATCTCTCCCGTGAGCCTTGACAGCGTATGTAAACTGTGCTCAGTACTATGCCCTGATAGGGTTGAATCCAAAACAAACACAGGCACAAATTCAAAGGCAATGAGTTGAGCACTACCCCTTGTCGTACCCAATAAGAAATCAGAGTTCTAGCAAGTAAACTAGTTTACACGTTAGCTAGTCAGCAAAACTAGCGAATAGTGCGCAGTGAATTCTATACAAAATGACGGAGCCCTAGCAAATTTGACTGCGACAAAATGTCCTCAAGACATGTCGAAGTGAGCAACAGCGGATTCGCGAATTATTTTTCTCGACAGGGTGCGCGAAGCACGGTCGATCACGGCAACTCTCTAACGGTGGAAATTCGCTACAAATGGAACGCAAGATTCAGAACTTCCCAGAACTTCCATTCCTCCTTATTTAAAATTTAAGGACTTTTTTCCCAAAAGCATCTTCGATGCTTGGGTTCTCGTTTAGTTGTTTAACCGCGTGGGGGAGCGAGCTGGTTTGAACGGTGGTGTGCGGACGGCGTGGGTGCAAGGGAAAGGAAGGGAAAGGAAAGGAAAGGAAGGGAAAGGAAGGGAAAGGAAGGGAAAGGAAGGGAAAGGATGGGAAAGGATGGGAAAGGATGGAAAAAGGAAGGGAAAGGAAGGGAAAGGAAGGGAAAGGAAGGGAAAGGAAGGGAAAGGAACCTCGACCCTCCACTGCCAAGGAAAAAATGGTCGTTCTAAGAAGATAGGTCAAACAAACCAAAAAATGATTCACTTTGTTCCAAACATGTATGTTTCTGGGAAAATCTCAGCACTACGGCCGGGTACACAAACCGTGATGAATTTTGGAACAACCAAAAAAATCCGAAAACTACCTAAAACAACGATATTTCAGGATTTGCGGGTTTTTGCGGGTTTTTTGCGTTTTTTTTTGCGGGGTTTTGCGGGTCTTATCCCCAGTCGTTTGATGCGCTGCAAACATTTGTTGGCCTTTGTCTCACCAAACCCAAAAACATGCAATCAAAGTCCTAAAATCCAAGATCTAGGTGTTTTGGGTAAAATTAGTCGATATAGGTCAAATTCCGAAAACACCTATATTTTTCTAGGATTTGGAGGGTCGAGGAAGGGAAAGGAAGGGAAAGGAAAAAGTGGGAAAAGAAACCGCTGGAGATCAGCGAGTTTGGCTGCGCGGACGGCTGCGGACGGCGTGGGTGCAACGGTGGCTGGAAATGGTTGGGGAGAAGAAGCCGCTGGTGATGAGCGAGCTTGGCTGCGCGGACGGCTGCGGACGGGAAATGGGTGCGGAGAACTGCGCGGACTGCTGCGGACGGCGTGGGTGCAACGGAGTGGCTGGAAATGGATGGGGAGAAGAAGCCGCTGGTGATGAGCGAGCTTGGCTGCGCGGACGGCTGCGGACGGCGTGGGTGCCAGGGAGTGGCTGGAAATGGGTGGGGAGAAGAAGCCGCTGGAGATCAGCGACCTCGGCTGCGCGGACGGCTGCGGACGGGAAATGGGTTCGGAGAATTGCGCGGACGGCTGCGGACGGCGTGGGTGCAACGGAGTGGCTGGAAATGGGTGGGGAGAAGAAGCCGGTGATGAGCGAGCTTGGCGGCGCGGACGGCTGCGGACGGGAAGTGGGTGCGGAGAACTGCGCGGACGGCTGCGGACGGCCTGGGTGCAAATGAGTGTCTGGAAATGGGTGGGGAGAAGAAGCCGCTGGTGATGAGCGAGCTTGGCTGCGCGGACGGCTGCGGACGGCAAATGGGTGGGGAGAATTGCGCCGACGGCTGCGGACGGCGTGGCTGCCAGGGAGTGGCTGGAAATGGATGGAAACTTTTGCAATCGAATTGGGGTCTCAGGATCTGGATCATTGGCCATAGATCATCCAAATTTCATTTTGATTTAATGGGTAATTCTCTTTCACCTCTTCATGCTCTTGGTAAGTTTCGTGAAGTTAATAGAAATTATTTGCCAGCCTTTCACGAACTGGATTGAAATGGTGGTCTTGGACCTCAACAATAAAAGATGCCATGTGTTTGAGGCTTGGAGTCGGTTGAGACAAAATGAATGTGAATGTGAATTGTAAAATTCTTAGTAGATACTTTGGTCCTGATTAGGGTGTCTCTTCAGGCAGCAAATTGTGCTTGACCTTGGTTGAATATAATTTCAAAGAAAGGCGCTTATCAGGGAGCTTCTTCGCATAGCGCATTTTCATTGATGTTTGTACTGGCGCGACGCTACAGACTGGACATGATTGGACAATTGACCTCTTAGTGAAGGAATTTGATTCTTATTAGTATTTTTAGGAACCTCTTCGGCGAGCACATCATGTTGATTTACCTTCGTATGTGGATACTGTTGATTCACTTTGCCTGGAAGCAGATTCCAGGTCCGGGTGTGCGCGGACATCTCCTGTATAACACATGTCGCACTTGCACTATAATGCCAACACCGGATTAAGAACCCCCCCCCCGGGGGGTAGGTAGGTAGGTAGGTACCTTCTGGCTAGTTTTCTTGACCACCCCTAATTTAACGCACCCTGAACCATAAAATTGTGAACCATAAAACTTTGGATATGGCTTACGTCAATTAGATCTTAATAGAATTCCATTGGATTTGTTAAAATCTCATGGATCAGAAAGGGGGTTGATTAATCAGGGGCAAACCGTGGTTATTATTAATGAGGGACATGGGCTCATGGGGGGTACCCTTTGGGAGCTATCCAAACACATGATTTTCATAAAGATTTTAATTTGAAATCGATCATTTGGGGAATAGTTGTTTCTTGAAATTTTCAATGATCAACTTAAACCTTAAGTATAACAATGATGATGAAACAAAAAGTAAAAAAATGGAAATAAAAGGAATTGGAAATAAAAATTGCTGGATAAAAAACTTGAATTTCAGCACTGGTGGTTGATTAATCGGGGGCAGGGTTTATTAATCAGCGGGGACCACCTGTTTTTAAATTATATTTTTTTTGGGGCAGTGGTGGTTGATTAACCTGGGGGGGTTTATTAATCCTCACTTGACATTACTATAATTACATTTTTTTTTGCCTAGTTTCAGCATGCTTTAACATGTTTTTGCCTATTTGGGTGGATTTGAGCATTTATTAGGGGGGGCGAAGGGAATACTTAAATGAAACCCTTTGTCCGGAGCTTTGAGAAAGCATGGGGCCAGACCATGGTAATGGGTGGTTATAATGCCCATCGCCAAGTCTACAGGATTTTCCAAGGGTTACCCAGGCAAGTTCCTCCCGATCACATGTGCCACCCATGGCCAATAAGTAGGGTAGGGTCTATAACTTTGCATTGAAGTCTCAGATTAGTTTGCCAAACAAATCTCTGCGGACTTTGTCGACCTTTTTTCCGTTGCGGCCGATTATGGGGCATGAGGGGTCTGAGATCTGCTGAAAAAAAAATCGGCCGAAAATTGAGATAAAATTGAGATCCTGTGCCGCCGAATCGGTTGCATTTTTTTTACGGACTTTGTTTTTTTCCCAAAAAGCATCTTCGATGCTTGGGTTCTCGTTTAGTTGTTTAACCGCATGGGGGGGGGCGAGCTGGTTTGAACGGTGGTGTGCGGACGGCGTGGGTGCAAGGGAAAGGAAGGGGAAGGAAAGGAAAGGGAAAGGAAGGGAAAGGAAGGGAAAGGAAGGGAAAGGAAGGGAAAAAAGGATGGGAAAGGAAGGAAAAAGGAAGGGAAAGGAAGGGAAAGAAAGGGAAAGAAAGGGAAAGGAAGGGAAAGGAAGGGAAAGGAATGAGTGGGAAAAGAAGCCGCTGGAGATCAGCGAGTTTGGCTGCCCGGACGGCTGCGGACGGCGTGGGTGCAAGGGTGGCTGGAAATGGTGGGGGGGAAGAAGCCGCTGGTGATGAGCGAGCTTGGCTGCGCGGACCGCTGCGGACGGCGTGGGTGCCAGGGAGTGGCTGGAAATGGGTGGGGAGAAGAAGCCGCTGGAGATCAGCGAGCTTGGCTGCGCGGACGGCTGCGGACGGGAAATGGGTTCGGAGAATTGCGCGGACGGCTGCGGACGGCGTGGGTGCAACGGAGTGGCTGGAAATGGGTGGGGAACAGAAGCCGCTGATGAGCAAGCTTGGCTGCGCGGACGGCTGCGGACGGGAAATGGATGCGGAGAACTGCGCGGACGGCTGCGGACGGCGTGGGTGCAACGGAGTGGCTGGAAATGGGTGGGGAGAAGAAGCCGCTGGTGATGAGCGAGCTAGGCTGCGCGGACGGCTGCGGACGGCAAATGGGTGCGGAGAATTGTGCGGACGGCTGCGGTCGGCGTGGCTGCCAGGGAGTGGCTGGAAATGGGTGGGGAGAAGAAGCCGCTGGCGATCGGCGAGCTTGGCTGCGGACGGCAGCGGACGGCAAATGGGTGCGGAGAATTGCGCGGACAGCTGCGGACGGCGTGGGTGCCAGGGAGTGGCTGGAAATGGGTGGGGAGAAGAAGCAGCTGGTGATGAGCGAGCTTGGCTGCGCGG